GTTACTGACAAGTGCCCATCAAAGAGCCCGGTGGACGGGAGAACTGCTGCAGGACGGTCTCGCCACACACCACGTGCGGTGGAGCCTGGCCAGGGTGCAGTTTGCAAAATGAAATAAGGGCTGTCTGGGGAGGTTTATGAGGATTACATGTGTGCAGACTATGTCAGTTCTCCAAGGTGTCACTCTAAACACGTAATTTTTAAGCACTACTTTCGTTGCTGAATCTGCAGGAAGGGAAAACCCTATTTTTCTTTTATGGAGCAGATATCCCAGTTGGGAATGGGTTGAAATCTGTATTTCATTTGTACATATTGAAAATTTAAAAGGCAAAGAACAAGGTGTAGGAAAGCAGTATGCTAATGTGCACACATCTGGGAGAGAAAGTATATTGGCTGATTCTGATGCATCTCAATGTTAAATTACATTCAGCATGGTTAGAGTACAAGGAGGCACCTTTAAGGAGTTCTTAAGACTATTTGAAAGGTGCAGTGTTTTGGTACTGATCGCGGAAGTCTCTCTGGAAAGGGAGTATTAACTGAGGATTACCCGTAACTAAATATGTATGCATTAACAGGTCTGGAATCAGAAAGTAAAAGATGGTGCTTCTCTTAAGGATCGTGTTTAGTCATGTCAGTTAAAATATAGCATGGGATTTTGAAAAGAAGTGGCATAATTTTGAATATAAATTTCATTTTCTCCGTACCAAGCATTTCATCAAGAAAGGTTACAGATTGTAAATTTGAAATGATGCTGCATTCATTAATTTGACGGTTACCATTTGTTGACATTCAAAAGGAAGTGACTAAAGCAAATGCATTTCTCTGTCTACTCTGTCACAACTTTGCTAATACCAGACAGTTGTTCTGGTGCAGGTGTACAGTAGAAGTGCAAGCCAAGAAACTTTGTGTGTGCTATTGTTTTGGAAGAAATTGTAGCTGTTCTTTACTGCTCTTAGGGGAAACCCACGCAAACATCTAATACAAACAAATGATCTTTGATATTATCACAAAAAGCCTGGAGCTGTTTTTCTTGCCAGATTTAAGTCATTTCTTGTCAAAAGAGGAAATCTCCCAAGGAGCAGGTGCATCATTATAAGAAACACAAGGGAATTTCTCTTTTAAATGCAAAATCTAATTGAATAGCAACGAGAGAATCAGTAACACTCTTAGAATAGAAGCTTTGTCTTTGGCAGTTTGTCAGGTTACAGTTGCAAACCACATAGGAGAAATATGTGTCTTGGGAGAAAAATGATATTCTGGTGAAAATAAAATAGTTGCTTCTGTGAAACATTTACCCTTACATACTTATTTCCTTGTGCCCCTTTGATTTCTATGCAGATTCACTTGCAGGAAGTCATTTATGCAAAATGAATCAGTAAGTTGGTTTCTAATATATATACTATGCATGATTTTGCACTTTATACATTAGGTAACTAGATTTTGTATTTTATGGTTTGAATCTTATCAGCTCTTTTTTACATTTTAAAAATTGATCAAAATATGATTAATGATTAAAATATTTTTAATTGGTATGACTGATAGCTGGGCCCTGGGAAAGTACTAATTGATTCCTAAATAGTTATTGTGCATTTACTTTGTGCCTATGTGTCATATAGCAACATAAAATGTATAGTGTTTTCACAAGGAACATGTTCATGGGAAATAGGACCCATGAAAAATTAAATGATATAAAACAGGGAAGAACACATTTCATAATTGAGTGCCCAAGACACTAAATAGTAATTGAAAAGGAATTCTGAGGAAAGAGTGACAAAATCAGCTTAGATGTTATATCAGTTATTCATCATTGGATAACAAATCCCCACAAAATGCAGTTACTTAAAATTGCTACTTAGCTCATGATTCTGGTGGTCAGCAATTTTAGCTGGGCTCAGTGAGGTGGTTTTCTGCTATTCTTAGTTAGGTGCGCTCAGACATTTTCAGTCTGCTGGTGGTATAATTTTGAATGGCTTTACTCATATGTCTGGCAGTTATCAGACTGTTGGCTAGGGTAACATAATTGGTGGCTGGGATACGTACCGCCCATTCTCCAGCGTACTCACCTGAGCTTCTTTACGTAGCAAATCAAACAGTGTTATAAGAGCTGCAAAAGAACAACCTGCAATGCAAAAGCAAGGTTAAAGCCTCAGCTTGAATCACATTAGCTATTCTCCCATTCGCCACTCTCCCATTCACCATATCAAATCAGGAGGTTATCCCAGATTCAAGGGGTATAGAAAGAGTCCAGTTATAATGAGAGGGATGTGCAAAAAATTTGAGCCAGTTTTTTATGATATACTACATGTTTGAGGATACTTGTGTCTAGCAGATGTTTTCTGCTGGAAATAATATGTTAGGAGGAGTATTGGAGCCTGCTTAGCAATAGCCCAGGATTTAGGTTAAGGAGTTGTCCAGTAAATTTTTGTTCTGTAAACCACAGGTAAGGAAGTGTGACACAATGATAATAAAATTTTGCCCCTATCCTTCCGGCAGTGGTGTTATGGTTTGGAGACAGAAGGCTGGTGGCAGAGTAAGCTGAGCATTGTTGAAAGTTGATGGCTTTGACAAAAATGGAGGTAGGAAAAATGGAAAGGGATCAGTCTGGGAGATCCCATATTTAGGATGAGGTGACTGATTATAGGGGGTTAGTAAAAGCAAAAAGTCAAAGTCATTCTGAGATTTTAAAAAGCTTAAGTGACAGAATGATTGTGCTTTTGTGAGAAATAGAAAATCAATAAGTGATTTATTTGGGGGCAGGAGAAAAATTCAATTCCAGAAAGGTTGATTAAAAGAGATAAATTGAAGGTGAAAGTACTTTATAAGCTGCAGAGTAGGCTATGAATGTTAGCTATTGTTTAGTGTTTAAACCACGGTGCACCATTGTATATAGTTAAGTTTCTTTAGGTGTATAGCAACAGGAAACAAAATACAACATCAGGGATTCCCTGAGATGTCAAAGGAAAGTCAGAACCACTACTCTCAGGATGGAAACAGAACTTACCTAGAGAGTAGAATTGATGTTCTTTCTCCAAGGCACAACTGGAGGTCAGCTCTTAGAATGCTCTGCCCTTAACGTAAGCATACCAGGCAAGAGAATACCTTTGACTTAGTTTGAGTGATATGCACACTCCTGAGCCAGTAGCACTAACTGGCAGCCACACCAGGGCAGAGCACAATGCAGAGTGGGCAGGTTCGCCCCCGAAGGACACTGGAGCACTGCTATCAAAAGTGGAGATGGACACAGGGTGGCAAGACCAACAAATGCTCACCACAGATAAACACTTAAAGATTTATTTAGGCCTAGCCATAGGGAATCAAGAGGTAACAAGGCAGGAGGTGACAATTTTGGCATATTTTCATAGAGTATAGGTGAATGAATAACAGTTGAACCCATGCTATTGGTGGAGTTTTCTTGTGGAAAGTAAAGAAAGAAAAGAGGGTCTGGCACAATGCCTCATCCAGACTCCTTCATAAACGTTAATGGATGTTTTATTAGAAGGGAGAAGAATTCTAAACATGTTCTATTCTGTCTTTCACCTAAAAGCTCATGCAAGGTGCTGTTTCATCAGCCTCATTTTATGGCCAGACTGAAATTCAGGTGGTGCCCTTACCACCAATTGCAGCTGTTGGGCCAGACAGAAACACCTGGCCTCTCCAACTTCACACAATTAGTCTGAACAGCATACACAGCTGCTCTTTATGGAATGAACTTGGATGAACCATCTCAAACTGAAGAATACGCTTTTATCATTTTTATTGCACACATCTAAAAACCCTGAAGATACTCAATAAATGTTAATTGAATGAGTGGATGTGCCATTATCTGGTGCAGTAACATTTTTTTAAAACGGTCTTGTCTGGCTTTTCATTATTAAGTGTAGAGTTTGCCATAAAGTCCCTAAGTGCCTTTTGTAGACTTAATGTTTTAAGGTACTCTTGTCACAGTAATATAGGTTTTTTAAATCCACTACTCATAAAAATATTTTCTTTCCTTTATTGAAACACAGCTGTCTTTAATCCTTGTGTTTTTCAGGATACTTGGTTGCAAATCACAGAAATTTGTTTATGCTTGTTCAAGTAGAAAAGGACATATACTGGCTCCTGTAAAGGAAAAGTTCAGAAAGGATCCAATTCTGATTTCCTCTTTTCCTCATGGTGGCAAAATTTTCATCTGCAGCTTTAGGCTTAACCCCTGAGAAAAAGAATTCAGGATTAACTTTAATTAGACCACTTTGATCACATGCATATTCTTGAACCAGACTCTATGGCCAAAGATTTGGACCATGCCACTTGACTTGGCTTTGATTATGAGCCCAGTCCTGGGGGCTTTTGGAAGGGAAGAGTGGCATGTGTGAAGGCAGGTAGGGAGGAGTGTATGGGAGTGAAAGAGGTACATGGGAGACTGGTCAGCAAAACTCTTCTAAACCTTATAACCTGAGAGCAGGGAAGGGGTGGTTTTGTTGTTGTTGTTGTTGTTGTTTGTTTGTTTTTGAGATGAAGTCTTAATCTGTCGCCCATGCTGGAGTGCAGTGGCACAATCTTGGCTCACTGCAACCACTGCCTCCCAGGTTCAGGCAATTCTCCTGCCTCAGCCTCCTGAGTAGCTGGGAAAAAAAATATTGAGAAGAGATAACAGATGCCGTGTATGCAGAAACAGCAGATAACCTACTAAATACTATTATACCTTTTTTCCTGACAGGCATAGCATCCTCTCACTATAGCCCTAAGTCAGAGACCTGGGAATCATCTTGATCTGACCTTCTCCCTTTCTTCCTCCACCTAATCAGTCACCAAGACCTCCTGCACCACTTCCTTTCATGTTTCACTCTTCCCAAATCACCTCCACAAATGCTGCCTTCAGTCTCCCAGCCTCCAATCCGTCCTCACCATTGCCTGCTTGCTGTTTCTAAAGAATAGATAAAATTGAATTATATAACCCCCTGCTAAGAACCATTCCAAACCTTGTCATAGCCCTGGAGAAAAGTCCAAGCTCCTACCGTGAATTCCAAGATTCTCTGTGAGGTGAGTCTTGTCTCCTCCTGTGGGTGCAAAGGATGGGTAGATGCTGGTATGTTCAGCAAAGCCTTCTTCTAACTGCCCATATTTTCCCCATGCTGGGCTGACACATGTAACCTCAAAATCCTTAAATGCCTCATTGCATGTGCTTTTACATGGGCTGCTGTCTCTGTGGAATATTGTTTCTTCTTTCTCAAACTATGAAGTATTAACCATTTACTTATCTTTCCAAACTCATCTCAAGTGTTGCTTTTTCAAGAAGCCTTTGCTGAACATCCCCTCCCAGCCTTTCCCCACATCATGCTTTATCCTGTACAACCTTGGATATGCATGTGTGGCTCCCTCTGTAGACTAAATGTCTTGAGAGCTGGACTGTGCTTCCTTGCCTTTGCACAGCCTGTGCTCAGTACAGTGCCTTAACCACCATGTATCTCAATCATTTTTAAATAAATGGAAAAAAATGTATGCTGAATCATTCATCTTTCATTTTTTTTAGTTATAATCTTTAGTTCTATTTCCTTTAACTTGATTTTCACATGTGGCTCTTAGGATACTGGACATGAAGACAGGTTCTCTTTGAAGCTGCTGCTCACTTTTTCAACAGTTTTCCCAATGATTTATTTGCTTATTTGTTACTTTGTCACTAAAAACAAACTTGAGGAGGCTGGAAAATATCAGTGGCCCAGAGTAAATCTCTAGTCTAAAATCTATGGGTCAGAGACCAGTTGAGGAATCATTGTTCCCTATCATCAGAGACAATATTTAATAGTTAGTATTTATGAGGCAGTTTGTTTTGAGTATGTACCAGATGCCTTTCTTATTTAGTTCTCACAGCAGCCCTAGGAAGGAGGCATTACTGCTATCATCCTTTTTTTTTTTTAACAGATGAGGAAACGAAGATTTAGAGATTTGAAGCAGCTTGTCTGCCACTAAGCTCCTTCTTCCTGGCAGCTGCCGGGTGCCAGACACTCACCTGGGTTGTTGAGGAGTGAAACAAAGCTTTGATTGGGCTCTTCCCATTCATCTGTTATGACTTTGTTGTTCTTCTTCTAAGATGAAGTAAACATCATCTTGAAAATAAAATATTATCACTGCCTTCTTTGGTCATCAATCCTGTCAAAAAAAAAAAAAAAAAACTATGGAAAAAGATATATTTAAAGAAGTAAGGACTCCAGTACTATAGTTGAAATTAAGACCAATTTCTGACTTATAAATTCCAATTATCTTCTTGAGATACTAATACTACCAGAAAATAAAAGCCTCTTATGGAAGTTGTTCTGCTGCATATAAAATGCAGGCCTCTTGAGGAGGCACAGAAAAGCCTGGTTTTGAGAGTCATTCACAGAGCTATTCCACAGATAAATAATGCTCAGTAGTTCTTAACCTGTTTTCAGTCTGAGAGGCTTAAGAGCATCAGAGGAAAGCTACGGATTCTGTCCTTGTAGAGAAAAGATGTGCACACATACCCCACTTTGTATTTAATTTTAGGGATTTCAAGGATCTATTGAATCTCATCTGTGGATTTCTTGGGACTTCATGGACTCCAGGTTAAAAAGAAAATCTGTTTTAAAAGCTGCTGCAGAAGGACCATAATAGCCATTGTTGAGTGTTTACTGTGTTTGACATGTAACCGTTTATTCAGTGTTTGCCAGATGCCAGCCCTTTTTGAAAGGTACATTATAGCTAAGCCATGCATTGTGAGTCATTTTAAGCTATGGAGGAGAATTACGTTCAGAGAGGGAGCTTAGAGTCTCCCACTGGGCAAGTACTGAGAACAGAATTAAACCCAGAACCCATGTCTGTATCACTGCTACTTCATGCTGCCTCCACACTCATTCATGCAACCAAGTGAGGCATAAGACCTGTGCCTCTGAAATTTGGATCCTCTGTTGATCCTGACTTCCCTTAGCCTTCAGCTTCTCTTGTTGAAAGTAAGTTAAGTGGCTGCTTCTGCCATAAGAGCTTCCTGGAATGTGTCCAGTGCAGGAGCAGTCGAGGGCTGGGAAGGTCTCAGCTCACTCTCCTTCACCTGTGACAGCTTGTTCACAGTAGGACAGATAACGTCACTAGAGTGACAGGACTACTGGTCTGATCATCTCTAGCTAAGTTCCTACCTCTTACTCACTCCTGCGTACAGTTTGCACACTTGGAAACTTTAACAGACACTCAACAGCAAAAATGACTGCAAATTCTCCATGTCACCCCTCTTCCACAGATATTTATTGAGGCCTGCTGTATTCTGGGCCCTGTCCTCCAAGCTGCAGTCACAGCAGTGAGCACACAGATGTGGATCCTGAGCTCATGGCATTTATAGCTAGCTTATATCTTGCCAAGAAGGGGGCTAATAAATAATTTAAATAAAGCATATTAAGTTTTATGAAAAAGGAAATATCAAGGATTTATTCTATTTCAGTTTCTTCATTCTTTTCAGCTTCAAACCCTGGTCACAAAACACTGTGTACTTCTCCAGCCTTTTCTGACCCCAGGATGTTTAGAGCACTTCAGGTTTCTGAAAACTTAGTTGACGATGTCAGGGGGACACACAGGCCAAGCAGTTAATCCCAGTCCCTCTTTTGCAGATGAGAAAGCAGCAGTGACCAAATGACTTAACCTCAGATGGGGTGAAGACAGGGATAACCAGTTGATTTGGTCCCCAGTCGAGCACTGCTCACTATAAACCACAGGCTGCTTCTATTTTATGTGAGATGTTATTGTTGTGGCCTTTATGTTCTGGTCTCTCTTGCTGCAAATGACTCCAGCAGGCGAGCACAACGAAGAAAGCAAATACACTGCCAGTTTCTGCACCCTCTTTGTAGCCCCTGATGGGTCCCCCAGTTGTCTCTCATTCCATAGGCACTTCCCACTGTCACCCACTTGCCCTAAGGCCACCTCCCCAGGTTTTCTCCCTGAAGCATTACCTTGTGACTGCACCAACCTGCACTGGCAGATAGAAATGTAATAGGACCCATGAATGGGAGCTACGCAGGTAATTTCACATTTTCTAGCAGGCACATTTAAAAAAGTAGTAGGGAACAGGTGACATCAATTTTAATAATCTTACCCAATATAGCCAAAATATTAGCATTTCTACATGTAATCCATATAAAAAATCAAACCAGATACCTTATATTCTTTTTTTTCCCATATTACATCTTTGAAATTTGGTGTATGTTTTTTACCTACCTCACTCAGAATGGCCGCATTCCAATGCTCAGTGTCCACAGGTGGCTGGCGACCCCTGCGGTGGATTACAGGCTTGGACTCCAAGGAGACCCTGGGATGCCTAAGACAGACTCAGTGACATCCCCTCAGCCTCCCTCAGCCCTTAGCTCAGGTATTTATTGCTGTTCCAATAGAAGGTTCACAAGGTTGTGTTCTCAAACCTGGGCTCTTGAAGGAAGGGAATTTGTCATCGTTCCATCCCTGGTGTAGAGTGCAGTGTTTGGCAGGCCCACCGTTGGCACTGGGGGCATGATGAATCATTAATGAACAAAGGAGGTATATCTGTAACTCCGGGAGTTGAAGCGCTTGGTATATGGAGGCTCGCCTGTCCAACCCCTGCTCCCTGGCCCTCTTCCCCCATCGCAGGGCTTCCTGTTTCAATCTCCCAGCTTTGCCCAGTGCCACAGAACCACACTGGGGTCACACTGAATAGATAGGAGGCATCTCCAGGCACACATCCAGGCTTCTAACCAAGAATTGTATTGAGACTATAAACATCTTGTTTAGTTTTTGTTTCACCTCTTTAACATCAAATACTAGAAGAACTTATAAGCAGTCTAGTATGTGAAATCATAAGTCTGATTTAACAGCGTGGAAAAAAAAAAAAGAAAATGGGACAGACCAAAAACAAAAGAAAACTCATCCAGTGAACAAGCCTCCTTTTGAGATTGCAAACAAGGCCAGCTGACATACAGAACATTAAATATAAAAGAGAAGGCTAGCTTGCATCAGGGAGCTGTTAGAGTCATCACGATGAACTTTCTGTTTCCAGTGGTTTTAGAGTCATCACTACTCCCTCTGAGAGAAATGGAGATTTATATCCTGAGTCAATTTGCCTTTGCACGTACAGCATTTAAATTTTGCAAGTGGTTCTAACCAACTAATGTGCATGTTAGCTTGTCTGCTTTACCCCCAAAGATAAGTGTCACTTAAAATAATTCATATAACCCAATCTAAGATTGGTGCTTCCATAAAACCACACTAACCACTTATGCAAATAAATTTAAAGTTTGAAAATGGAGGAAAATATGTTTGATCTGTTAAGTCATATAAACATTTTTAAAAGGGATTTTTATCTCAGTAAACAGTACAGTTACCTCAGGCCTACTTAAAGAGTATATTGGAATGGAAAGTTGAATGAAGTCTAACCTCAGTTTACCATTGATTACCAGTTTCAACCTGGAGAGCTCATTGACCTGCTTTGGGTTTTTGTTTCTGAGTGCATACAGTAAAAATAAACCCTGCTGTCACATACTATGTTTTAGGAGGATGAATGAAGTCTAGAAAATGTTTTAAACAATTCCTCAAAAAAGATATTTGGAACAGTTTGAGGGTGAGGTAGTTTGCCAATATTTCTGCAAAGTAAAATCTTAAAAATAACAGCATACATCCTATAGCAGATAACTGATTATTAGCCATGTTTAAGTAACATTAGCCATGTTTAAGATGATCTCGTCTTTAGTAAGACAAGGACAGTTCAAGATAGAGTTTTGCATCTGTTGGCTACAGCTTTGGGAATGCTGCTTTCATTTAGGATTCTTAAAAAAGAATTCGTGCCTCTTTGAAACTAAAATATATTTCTTCAAAGATGATGGCTCTGGTGTACTGCGTTGGTGTAATTGAAAACCTATAAAAAGGCTGAGAGCTACTTTTGAATTGGCTTAGTGAACTTGGACTAGATTTGTCAAAGTGGTGAAAGGTTTAAAAGAATTTTCTTAAATGAGGTCTTCAAGCTGTGTTTTAACCATAGAATTCCAATGAACTCTAAGCCCCGTGAACTCGGGCAACAGCGCCCCTGAGAAGAGAAGTCATATCAAGATGAAAATAAGTGATGCATTTTCATTCCTCACGTTCTGCAGACGTAAGCACATTTAGCCGCTGATAATCATGATTTAGTAGTACCGTTGTGCACTAGAAATACAATTTAAAAGTCTAATCTTTAATTAAGTTGAGTACTCACAGATTAACATGGTTACAGATCTTGGGCACTGGATGTAGTATAGTGTTTACTCCTGTTGCTAGGAAATATAGCAGAGCTATTTGAAAGTTACAGATTGATTTGGTGAGAAGGATGTGAGCCTCTCCCAGTAACAGACTTGTTCATTCCTTTCTCTTATGTAATGTATGTAAATGCATTTTGTGCAGTGGAGGTCCTGTGCATTCAAAGCTTTTGTTGGCAGTGGAAGCACAGGTGTGTGCACCTAAGTCAACATTCAGGGGATATTTGATAAAGCAGTCTTACCTAGAGCTCCTGGACAAAATAAGCATCATGAAGTGTGAGTATTTGAGTTTTTAGTGAAATGAAGTATTCTATTTGTTAGAGTTACCAAGGAAATGAGTTTTCTTTAAAATCTAACTGTCGTGAGGCTAACTGATGGCTTTAAATTCCTGCCATTAGTGGGAAGCTGTCAAATTAATACATAAATTTGATCCAGGTTGATGGTTTTCCAAAATTATTAAAATGTGCATGTAAGAAACCAACTCAGCTTTACTTTTCTTTCTCCCCCACCACCCCCTCCCTGCTTTGGCAAACCTTCTTGCATGACACATCATATAATAGTTATTAAAAATGCAAAGATGATTCTTACACAGCATGAAAGGGAATAGCTACAGGCCAGTTCACTTGTGTTGTCCCTGAAAAAGATGAAAGATTGCTATGTGCTATTTCAGTCAGGACCAGGCATGAAAGTGTGGCCTCCCTGAGCTCAAAAGCAGTACTAGGAAAAAAAAACACAGGGAAAAATTTCTATTTGATCTATTTGAGGCAGGCCCTTGCACAAAGGGACTGGTATTTCAAAGCAGGGTCCTTCCTACGAGAAGGAAAAATAGCAAAATACTTCATTGTCTCATGGGACAAAATCAGGAGTAGGATGACTTGTGCTTATTGTGCAATTATAGCCTACATCCAAGTTTAGAACAACCTGGATGGAATTAGAGATGGGTCCTGCTGCGGACGAGGATCACAACTCTACTCCAGCATGTATGTTCATGCCTCTCAGTCATTAATACACTTTTGCTTGCCCTATGGATGATTATTGATTCATTCCTGTAGAAAGCCAGTTGTTGGTTTTGGTATGAATTGTTTTCTCTGTGTGTACAAATATCTATCACAGTGTCTGGTATGTACTGTACAATCAATATATGTCTTTGGAATAAATGAATCCTTCAACATGACTAACAAGTAAACGTGTTCCTAATATAAGCCTTAAGGCTTATTCCATTGTAGCTAATAGAGGTTAGGGGCTTGTTTCACAAAAGATATTTTACCTGTTGTTTACACTTAGAACATCCATCTGAGGCATGGTGCTGTCAAACAAGTAGGCAAAATGCCATGTGATGAAAGGTTTCACTGCTCAGCCACTAGTAGTAATAGGTGATGGAATTGTAAGATGTTTAAGACCTGCCTTTACAGAACATTTGATTCTAGAAGGGAATTTGGAGCTTTGACAATAATGAGATGGAAAAGTAAGATGAAACTGGCACACAGGTTACAAGTTTCTTAAGGGTATTAATTCTAGTCATTCCCACTATCTCCCAAAACACCCAACAGCACATAAATGACATGGGATCAAGGTGCTGGAAAGGAGGCAGAATAACATAATAACTGGTTGTGAGCATGGACTTGAACCTCAGAGCAAGGCCTGACTCAGCGGCTTATTGTGTGTGATTTGGAACAGCTTATTGAACCCCTCAGTATTTTATATGGTTTCTTCCTTTTTTTTTTTTAAATCAACAAATATCTATCGATTACCTCATTTATTCAATGCAAGTTTGGGGCACTTGGGATAAAATGAGAATAGTGGATATCGGATCCATTCTTTCTCCCCTGCTCTGTGTGATAAGATGGCTGGCCAGCCTTATGGAATCAATCAGCAGACTCCCTTGTTCTCTGGCTTCCTTTTGGGTTTGGCCAATGGGATGGATCAGCAAAAGATTAGCAAACAGGTGGGGAGAGAAAAGTTTGGGTAATTTATTCCCTGGGCTCCCTCCTCACCAGATCACCTCTCCATACTATAAGGCACAGGTGCTGGCAGGCAGCTGTCTCCCTGTGGCTGCCCTCTGGGTCCTGGTTACTGTGCCCTCCCCTAGCCACTTCAAGCTGATAACCGCTTCCTTTTAGTCTTTCTAGCGCACGGTACTACACCATTGCTTGTAGTTTCTCTAAACCTTGGCCACAGCTTTGCAAGTGCCCTTTTTACTAAACAACTCTCAAATTGCATTTGAGCATGTCACCTATTTTCTTTTAGGAGCCCGACTGGCACAGTGATTACCTATCTCAGAGGACACTGTAAGAATGGCATGATTTATCAGGAATTTAGTATAACTATTAGCTCATACCGTGCATTCTATAAAGGATTTTATTGTCATCATTAGCTTTTTTATGTTTACAAAGTATTAAGTTTGCAATATTTTTGCATTGTTTAAATTTTTTTAAGTGAGAAGAAATCTATTACCTTGCAAATGTTAAAAATGGGGAAGAATGAAACAGAAGTCAAGAGCTAAGGTCACACAATGCTTCAGTGGCAGAACTAAAAAGTAAGAGTTTCCTACCTTGTTTCTTTGCACAGGGTACACAGTCATAACATGTCTGGAAGAGAAAGTTGTAACTTCAAAGTTAAATAAATTAAAACATAATCTAATTGGGATAATTGGGTATGCTTAAACTAATAAGCTCTATTTGTGACCACTAAATAATTGGGGTGAAATATTGATGACTCAGCATCTTCAACTTAATTACTGGGGCTGGGGCTAAGCATTTTCTATCTTCTCTGTAGTTTCGAGGCAGATGATCCTTGGGAATGAATTTCTTGGAGTCTCTGGAGGGTAGATCTGTTTATAATCAACACTGAGTAGGAGACCAGCATTCTGATGCTTGTGTAGTAGGCTTTTCTACTCATACACATTTTTCTTACTTCTTAGAGCTCTCATTTTAAGCCACATAAAGTAGGTCACTCTGTAATATTTAGAGCCATCTCACCTATAACTTATAGTACACTCATTAACCTGTTTTTCAAGAACTGAAAACTAGCAAATTCCCTAAAGAAGTAGTGGTCATCTGGAAAAACAAAACATACTACTACAACTTCTTTCCATTTGATAATAAATTTGTCATAGTTATTGAAATTTCAGACCATATGAGCGTATTTTTCATTGTCTTGGAAAAATTATTCAAGTATTCTCTAACAGAAATGCCTGTCTTTTTTTTTTTTTTTTTTTTTTTTTTTTTACAATTAAGCAGAGTCAAGGGAGGAATAGCAATTTGTGAGGCCTTTTGATGTCAGCCTAAGTAAGGATTTATAGATTTTCCCTTCTGTGTAAGGAGCTGTGTAGACAAAAGCAAATATCTTGCTGCCAGAAGAGCTCATGCTTCTAGAAGCTCATGCTTCTAGAAGGAATTATTTTCATTTAAACATTTGGGTCTCTTTCTCTCTTTTTTAAAGCATTTTATTTAAGGCCAGCTCTAGGTAGGAGTCTTGCCTTCTGTCTTTCTTTATAAAGAAAGTGCTTTCATAGATTGGACACTTAACAAATATAAACTTTCTCAACTATTTACTTACTTATTTATTATCTTTGAATTATCCTTTCTGGAGGAGATACTATATCAAAGTACCATAATCATCTCCCAGTTCATCCAAGTGAAACCTCCTTTTGTTCGTTCCGACCTCTACCTCTGTTTATGTTTCATCTCTTTTTATTTTTTGCCTCAAGTGAAATACAGTCCACTTTTTATTGAGAGGAACTAGTGTATTCATAGTCAGTGTTATTCTAAATGATTGTACTGTTTTTACCACAACAGGTGTGTTGACCTGAGTACCAGTAATGTGGTAATAAAGTTCCTAATGGATCATACTGCAAATATCACATTACAACCAAGAACCTTCCTTGGCTGCTTGCCAAACGAAAGTAGGCATGGGTTCTTTAGAGTAATTGATGGTGTTTGCAGAGGGAGGACACTTTATTTCAGGCAGTCATTCTATAAACATGCTTTGGTAATGATATGGTTTGGCTGTGTGTCCCCACCCAAATCTCATGTTGAATTGTAATCCCTACATGTCGAGGAGGGGCCTGGTAGGAGTTGATTGGATCATGGGGTAGTTTCCTCCATGTTGTTCTCATAATAGTGAGGGAGTCTACACAAGATCTGGCGGTTTAAAAGTGGCAGTTGTCCTTGAGCTCTTTCTCTCTACTCCTGCCTTGTGAAGAAGGTGCGTGCTTCCCCTTTGCCTTCCACCATGATTACAAGTTTTCTGAGGCCTCCTCAGCCATGTGGTACTGTGAGTCAATTAAACCTCTTTCCTTTATAAATTACCCAGTCTCAGGTAGTTCTTATAGCAATGTGAAAACAGACTTGTACAGGTACATTTCTTTGTGTGGATGCAGTCTTTTTCCTTCTAGGAAATTTCTATCTGGTGGAGAAGAAACATTTGTGCATCAGTAATAGAGGCATGTGCCTAGTGCTTTAGTGAGAAGGAGGGACAGAACTATGATCTCTATGTGGAATGGGGAGGAAGATGGTCAGATTACCAAAGGTTTCACAGGAAAAGTCTCATTTGATTTAGAGTTAAGGGCCAAGTGGGTATTTACTGGGCTGAAAATTTAGAGAACAGTGTTGGGATTAGACAGAACTCAGGAAATTAAATGTAAGTATTTTGATATGACTTCACAGTAAGATGTATGGCACAGAGTATCAAGAGATAATGTTAAAAAGATATTTGGAGCCAAGTTTTGATCTGTTTCCCACTGCAGTAAAAGAAAGCTTACATATCTTTTTCAATGAATGTGATTAGTAAATAATCCTACATAGATTATGTCACCCATTCTCAAGGTTTATACTATCACCTGTGTTGGTGACTTCCAAATTTGTATTTCTAGTCCTGGGCTAGAGATCCTCTTTGTCTTCTGGCCATCTACATTTTGATGTTTATCAGCTCTTGCAAAGTCTGCACCCTCAAAGTAAATTCATTATCTTTCCTTCAAAATCTTT